GTAGCAGTAGTAGTAGTAGTAGTAGTAGTAGTAGTAGTAGCAGCAGTGGTAGTAGTAGTAGTAGTAGTAGTAGTAGCAGAAGTAGTAGTAGTAGTAGTAGTAGTAGTAGTAGTAGTAGTAGTAGTAGTCGCAGTCGTAGTCGTAGTCGTAGTCGTAGTAGTAGTCGTAGTAGTAGTCGTAGTAGTAGTAGTAGTAGTAGTAGTAGTAGTAGTAGTAGTAGTAGTAGAGCAGTAGTCGTCGGCGTCGTCGTCGTCGTCGTAGTAGTAGTAGTAGAAGTAGTAGCAGCAGCAGCAGCAGCAGCAGCAGCAGCAATAGCAGTAGTATGATCAAGAGCGACTCCTAACATCGACAGGTGGGCACGACAACAAGCAGTGGCTTTACTCCTTTTTCCATGTGCTTGAGCCACGACCAGAGTTCTTCTCGGCAGCATTCCCGGCTGGAGGTAGATGCATTCCTGCCAATGCTCGAAGCCTTGAAGCAGGTGGCTCATCAAAGCGATTCTAGATTCCTCAACTTCATTCGCGGATGTGCTGGGACTTGTGGGAGATGCTTCTGATCAGGCTGTGGCGAAGTTGTTTCAGACAGGTGACTGGAAGCAGGCTTTACAAGTCCGAAAAGACACAAAAAGAATGGCCCAAGCGAGCATCTTGCTAGGTTGTCGCTGGCATTTCCACCCTTACAATGATTGCGGAATACGTGGATGATGAGGCCAGAAACCGATGCAGCGGACACAACAACTTTCGGAAATCTTTGGGAGCCAGGCCACTGTGGCCCAGATGCTGCAGGGCATTAAGATGCAGCTGGCAGCGACCCACGCGTTCCCCCGACTGATTGCATGGGACGAAATTCTGCAGGTTGCTGGAACCAGTTACAGTTACAGAATGTTACAGGCTGAGAAGACTTGCAACACAAACATTGGCAAGATTTGGCCCAAGCGACGGATACTAACACGGATGGCGAGTGCTCGTTTGCTGACCCTCTAGTAGATAGCAGAATTGACTGAATTTGGAGGCGCACCTTTCTAGTTCCCTGCGTGTAGTGTCTTGCCACATCCTTTAAGCTGTGCTACTTGCGGAATGGCCGTGCTTAGAATGGACTGCCACCGTACGCGGCTCTATAGGCCTGTGCCTCATGGAACCTCTGAGTTGCCTTCCAATCTCTCTCTCTCTCTCTCTCTCTCTCTCTCTTCCTTCTCCATGCACTCACTCCTGAGAGCGTGGGGTTGTCATCTTGACTGCCACGCACAGCGTGGCATGGGCAGCCTGCCGTTAGGTCCAAGTCTGGGTTGCTTACGCGCTGCCTCTGCATCGGCAGTCTGTCTCTCTTGCTTCAACTGGGCTTGGAGATGACGCAGGACGCTGATGGGAACCGGAAACGAAGTCATGTTGTGCACCTTGGGATTTCTGCTGGCTAGCACCGTTTAGGCGGGTTATCGTTTTTCCTACGTGTCTGCGGGATCCTCCGCATGTTTTTCTAGGCGTGGCGGGCTCTTTTTTTAGGGCTCCCTGTGGCGGCCTCGGATCTCCGTTCTCCGTTCCTGTGTGTTCCGACAATCTAATCCTGCTTTGTGGCTGCCTGCAAGCATATGCAAGCTGATGCACTGACAAGTTGCATTCGGCAGGGCCCGGTCTTTTGCAGGGTCATCGTTTGTACGGCAAACCAAGAAGTGATTGCACAACTCTGTGGTCCCTCGATTTCGCCTCCTCCTAGCTCGTAGCGAAGTCACACCAAAGAAAGAAACACCTTGACCGGTTTAGGCTTTGGGCTTAAGTTCGTGCTGCACTGCTAGCTGCTGCTAGCACTGCTTGCGAGAGGTTGCCAGTCATGTAGGCATGGGCTGGCTCAGCTCTTCCAGATTGGTTTGACTTACGGAACTCCTCCTCATGTCTTGGACCACTTCTTCCAACAGTTGGTGCTGCCCGGCCGGCTCTTGTTGTCAGGAGGCCTTCTGCGCAGGAGCCATCTCGGCACCCGCGCGATCTTCAATAGCAATGTCGGCGCAGGCCCGGAAGATGGGTTTACTCCGTTGACTCACGAACTGACTTCTGAAGCCTATGAGTCTCTGATGGACAGGAGACGGCCCAAAATGACCCCGCGCTTGAGCTGCGGCAGAAGCTGACGAAGCTCCTAGGAAGAAAGCCGACAAACAGAGACCTCGTCTGGCGATATGAAGTTATCTGGCAGCATTGCAAAAGGAGGGACTCGGGATCACTGCCGAGCTTGAACATGCTGATTGCTCAGGCATCGATTGAGCTGCCTTGCTTGAAGAACTTCACAACGACCTTAGAGGGCCAGGTGAAGAGATCTGGCAGTAGCTTGGAACAATGCAAGAGGACTTGCAGTGCAGCCGCATGCAGCTAGCCAGGGACAACGCTTTACAGCTTTGCTTTCTCGACTCTGACCTGTAGCGCTGCTCGTGTTGAGAGGAGGGTGTCCTCGGCAGTTTTGGCAGCTCTGGACTTTGAAAAGCTGAGCGCAGAAAGCGGCGTGGACTTTGAAAAGCCGAGTGCTGAAAGCCAGACCGCAACGAAGACAACGAGTGCTGAAAGCAAAACCGCAGCGAAGACAAAGAAGCGCCTCAGCGCGGAAAAGTAGATTTTTGGTAATGCCACGCTCCAAGTTTAAGAGATGCACTGAGGAACAAGACGGCCAAGAAGGCACCAGGTGCGGGATTCGGCATGGTAGTTTTCAAGTGGCTCGGCTGGACGGTCATTGACAGTTTTCGGGAGGAGCATCCAAGTTCCAAGTCGGTGACGAAGTGGAAGGAACTGTGACTGGGAGATATGGGAAAGGGCTGGTTCTGCGGATTGATGGAGTCAAGGCCCTGAGATGGCGTACAGCTTGCTACTAGCTTGCTAGCCTTCGTGCAATCAAGAGTTGTTTGCTTGCCAGGCCGTCCTGCCTGCCAGCGAGATCTGCGATGGTTTCCCGGAAGATGTCCCAGCAAAGAACTCCACAATCAAAGTTCGCGTGCTGCAAACCAACAACACGTTTAAAGTCTCATGTCGTGACAGCGGCGACAGGACAAATTATGAAGGGCTAAAGGTCGATCGCTCCATCATGGACAAGCTAGCGATTTCTGAGAAGGTGGACGCCGAGGTCATCGGCTTTGACTTCCAGAATGCCTATCTGAGAGTTGTGAGTCCTTCTGATCCCAGCAAGGTGACAATTGCAGATCTGGCGCGCAAGGACTTTGCAGAAGGTGCAGAGAAGGAGCTTCGGGTTGGCAGCAAGATTCAAGTCCGGCGGAAGTATGCAGCAAGGACTCGGCGAGTGGTCGTAAGCATGCGCGATCCGAGCAGACGACCGGAAGACATCAGTGTGGGTGACGAGCTGCCTGGGACCGTGGACAGCATTCTTCGAGGTCCGCGACCGGCAATCTTCCTGGACGTGGGGGTTGACCGGCCTGCTTACATGGACTGGCAGGAGTGTGGAGACGGCCACGATCGAAGAGCTTTCGAAAAGCTGAAAGTCGGCACAAAAACTTCCGTTCGCGTGCTGAAGGTGGACGGCGAGCGGATTTATGTCACCAGGCGATCTGGCGACTTGTATCGTCGAAGCCTGGACGGCGACAAATTACGGAGAAACACCCCTGAGCTTATGTCGAAATTTATGTCAATCGGTTCGGACCGTGATCTTGGCGGCGAAGTCTTTCGCCTTTATCCAACGCATGCCGTGGTAGCAGTCAAGTCACCGGATGGTGATGTGGCAGATGGGTTCTTGGGAAGATCTGATTTCAGTAAATCCTTTAGGCAAGAGGCTGCTCCGGGACTGGCCGTCAAAGTGCGCACACTACCTGGACAGAATGCGACGGGGGCGCACGTCATGTTGACGATGCCAGATGCAGCCGTGGAGAAGCAGGATGACACGGAGCCAGCAGCGCCCCGCGAGCATTGAGCAATCTAGCATCGGAGCAGAAGAACCTAAACGCGCATGCTCAAAGTCGCTTCTTTGCGTGTCAGTTAAGCAAGTCTCTTCCGAGGATGTGCTGCCCGAGACAGAGACTGAAACAGAGACTGAAAGTGAGCCGGCGGATTCAGCGGAGGCCGCACCCAGTGAGAAACCGGATGCAGGTCCGCTCGAAGGCTTGAAAGACTTCTTGATGCGTTGAGCAATCGTCATCCTATTCTTTTGTTATTCATTGCTGCGCTTGTGTGGGATTATGTTTTGCAGCTAGGCTACCGGTTGCAAAGCTTTGTGTGGGCAGCCCGGGTGCTACCACTATGTGAGAGCACTTCGGCAATTAACGTTTGAAGACGTCCTGCTTGATGGCGTCAGTGTTCCACGTTCTAGAGTTAGCGGACCCCTTGCCTGCCATTTATTCGCAGGCAGATTGTCGCGATGACAAGGTGGTTCGAGGTGAAGTGGGTAGGCTGTGAGAAAAGGACTACGACGGCAGCGCTCGAAGTGCCTTGCAGAAGCTTGATGGAGGTGCAGGACGTGCAAGGTGTAAGACCACAAGAACATTGGGCCAAAGTGCTGTGCAAAGCCAGGCGAGTTCGCTACACGGCCTGGGGTGCAATTGCACAGTTTTCAGAGGAGCAGTACTTTGTCGAGAACTTGTGTTGTCACTGGAACAGTCGTCAACACGAAAGGGCACAACAGCCTGTCAGGATCACACAGACGTGCTCAACTCAGAGGCTCGACGTTCCTTTTCAGTTGAACTCTAGACACTTGCCACACAGAATTTCTGTGATCTGCCTTGCTTCGTGCCGCTGCTCGCATGTAGGCTTGGACATCGCAGCTGCTCCCAGAATTCTTAAAAGGCTGCTGTGATGCACATGTCAGAGTCCGTGATGCAGCGGGCTAAGTCGAACAGGCCTTGACGATACCTGCGAGCGAGTGTGCCTTCGCTGCATGGAGGCCTTGCAGCAGGCTTGTATCCTTTATTCCAGTCGTGTTCACGGACTCGCGAGGCCTTCCAGCACTTTGGTGAGTCTGTCGAGCGTGAGGACAGGCAGAAAATCCACATAGGCGGTGTGTGTTGAGTGAGGACTCAGTGAGAACAAAGCTGCCCCTCTCCCCCGTGACCCTTAGCGAGCCTGGTGGCTGCCTTTTTTAATTAAGACGTGTCTTTCTGCCGGAGCAGAGATGTGTAGAGGACCTGGAGCCTTTCGTCCAGCCCATGATGGAGAAGCTTGGCTCCAAACTGCAAGGCAACGTGAAAAGACAGAAGAAGGCTGGCGGGACCTCGAAAACAAGACACACACGTCACATACTCCTACTGGTGGCTGCTCCCTGCGTACAGGCGATTACGTTCATTGCAGTCATTGCTGGACAGGCCTTGTTGTGCTTCAAGTGGTCCTACTGTGTGCATCTTGCTGACCAGGTCGACGATGCCTTCGCTCCATACTACGGACATCTTATGCCTTTGTTGAAGCAGGCCACGACCATCTTATGACAGACCCGGATGCCCGACAAAATGCTGCTCCCCTGCACGCAGGGTGTGGTGGGAGTACTGCCAAAATCGCAGAAGAATGTGTGTGTGTGTGTGCATGCCGATGGTGTGAGAGCCTCGCAGTTCCTTGACACTTTGGCAGGTCATTGAGAACACTTTGCACAAGACAGAGGAGAACATCTGCTGCAAGATTTAGTCCTGTGTCATTGGGAGCAAGATTTTGCAGGAGCGGCAGCTGTTGGGCAAATGCTTTGAATGCATTTCCCTCCTGGCAAGAGTCTATGCCTGAGATGTCGAATGGGTCCAGCCCCTATTTTGGTGCTCGAGCACACGGCATATGCATATATACGAAGACACTATACACATACCTACATACATGCATGCATACATACATACATTCATTCATGCATGCATACATGCATGCATACATACATAGATACATAGATACATACATACATACATACATACATACATACATACATACACGCACACGCACATTACATGAATGCCCGCTCGGTGCAATAACATGTGCTGCATACACTTCCCAGATCGTAGACTTCAGCAACAGTGGTCGTCATGATTTCCTCGCAGGGGTGCGGAAGCTGTGCGTGCCTGATGCATATCGTTCATGTAAATCCGAGTGCAGCATCATGCAGCTGATAAACTCCTTTGCCTGCACTGCGAGCTTGACTGACTCCGATGTTGGAACACAAAGCGACTGTTTGGCGCTGGCTCTGAATGTCGACGTCTATTCCCGTTCTCCTCTGCAGTTGTTGACTGGTTGCCTGTTTGTTCAGGCTGCCACAGGTTTCCCGCCGCCCCCTTCCTCCCCCCCAGCGGTATTCAGGCAGTCGGCCGGAATGGATTCCGCGCAGATGCCGAGCAGATCATGCAGGCACCCAGCAGCCTCGTTTGCGCTTGGCTTAGATGGCGTAGTTGAGCTTTCACCCGGGCCAGGCTATGATCCAGGCCACAAAGGTCCCGAACTTGCCCACCAACGATCCTGTCAAGGAGCGAGGTCTTGTCACTAGGCCAATAAGCAAGCAGAAGAAACGGCTGCCACCGCGCGGCTGCCACTGTTTCAAGCCAGCGAGGAGTAGCGTAGGGGATCGCCGAGGGGCATCGCATTGGATTGGTAGAGCTGAGTAACTCCAGGCATCCAGGATGCTGCCGGAGACCCTTTAAGTTTGCGTTCGTGATGTCGTGCTCGCAGGAGTACATGATGGCCGCATCAGAGAGAATCTGTGTCTCCGACCCAGAATCGAGCAAGTCATTGGCATGTTTGAGGTGCCGGTAGGCCAGAAAATCATCAGATGAGCTGTTCAGGCCGAGTCAGAGATCTTGCGTTCGAACTGAAAAGGCAACGATGAAGCAAGACTTTCTGCCGTTTGTGTCGCACATCCTGTGCATGGCTTAGCTCGTGGGAACTTGAATGAAGTGGTCCAGCTGCACACCCTGGCTCACAGCTGAATCTGACGGTAAGCCTAGGCCTGGAGTCCTGGAGAGGTTCACGCTGGCCCCGAGGGTGCTTGCCCACGTGTTCTTTTACGCCCCAAAGAGTCCAAACCTCCGGCAGGAGTTTACCGGTGGGGACGAGGTTGATGACAACGATGAAGTGAATCTGACGCTCATGCAAGAAAATGGGCAGGCTCGACGTCGTGGATGAGCCCATGGCGGTCGATTCACGATCTGAGATCTAATCTGACACGCAGGTCAAAGTTATGATCATGTATTCATCCGAGATCCAGGACCATTATAATGATCATAATGTCGATCAACTCAAGTGCCATAATGCTGCCGCATGCGCTTGCAGGACCTGAAAGCAGCACTGGAGTGTGTGCATACGTTCCAGCCCCAAGATGGCTCGCAGTCGAAACGAAAACTGATTTTCAGTTCTGTCAGCTCAGAGGTTCGTTGAAGAGCTGGCAGCTGCGTATGCCCCGTTCGTGGGAGAGACAGCCAAGGCCGGTCCCGGCTCTGCGGGTATCATTTGTTTTCAGCATCTGTTTCACTTCGCGAGGCCCTGCTTCCGGTCTTTGATTTTTGCATGGAGGATGGCATCAGGCAGTGAGCTCTTGGTTAAAAGTCAAGGTCGCGAGTCAGCTCCATTTGACTTGTGAGGGATTTGGCGTTCGAGACATGGGGTCAGCTGTGTCGCAGCGCGCGACAAGGTGGTCAGGCACGTGCTTTTGCAGTCGTGTTGAAACTGGCGCGAACACGAATTGTCAAGACTGTGACCAGCAGGTTCAGATTGTCAATGAACTCGTCATGGAGTTTCTGAAGCGAGTGCTTCCGAAATTCGAAGCTGCGAAGGCTTTTCGTGGGCGCAGGAGGTGTTTTGCAACTCTTTCCCGCTATGATTAAATACTCCGCCTTTACCCCGCTTCCCACAGTCTTGAACTCGAACAAGAGCTTCGGCCGGATGGGCTTTCTGCAGCCCGCTGACTCCGTAGCTCTACGTTCTTGTGGCACCTGCAGCTTGCAGTCCCCTGCAGTGTGCAGCTCCTTGCACTTCTACGTCCCTGAGACTCTGGCAGCCTGCAGTTCCCTTACAGTCCCTGCAGTCTGTGTTCCTGCAGCTACCGCCCAGTTCCTGCAGTCCTGAGAAAGCCTTGCGAAGGGAGCTCAACTGACCCTTTCTAGCACACCCTGGCTCTTGAAGTGATAGGGTAAACTCCTTTTTGTATTTCTAAGCCTTAGCACTAGAATCTCGAACTCCTGAGCGCTGGCATTGGTACCGCAAGTAGTAGTACTCTCAGCCGTAATGGCCACTGATACCACTACTCCCTACTTCGCCTCTCAGACTGATATCAGTGGTCCTAGTCGAACTAATACAGTCCTGGCTACACCCTCAAGTTTTTCCTTGAGTTTCAATTGCAGGGCCCGAAGCCAGAAAATAACTCGCCGAGACACTCTTTATGCTATGGGGGCGCTTTAAACAACATAGACGCGATTAGCTCGCTTGGGAATGCTCGTTGAGAGGTGGACGTGGCCGAACTCAAGACCAGCGCAGACGGAATGACTGCTTGTCTGAGGTGCACCATGTTCAGATTGTGCATCACTGTAACATGTGCGCAGCATGTGCAGTGAATTGCAGGGAAGCTGGTTCTGGAATCCTCCACGCCGAGCAGTTGCGTCACATTTGTCCGGAGCTTGCTTTGGGAATCCCGTGGTCGTGACTGTCGTGTGTCTCTCCGTCAACGGTTAAATGCCCCGCAGGCAAGACAATAGCAGTCTCCTCGACTCTTGAGGCCGCACAACGCTTAGTGCCCTGGCCGAGTCGCTAAAGCGGCGCTCCGAGGCAGCTAAGGCCTGCGGAATGGACCAAAGTGAGATACAGCGAACAGCGAAAGCATGCGACAGCGATCGAGGATTTTGTTTTGCGCTGTCCCCTGGCCAGGGCAGACCGGCACAAGTGCAGCAAGATGAGGTGCGACATGCGGCTCTGCGACACTCTTGCAAGCTCGGCAAAGTTACAACGATACGAGAGCTGTGCAGGATGGAGAGGACCATGATGATGATGATGAAGAAGACGAGCAGGCCGTGGCTTCCGATCGATTCCCGCATCTTCCCGAGCGTGCTTCTTCATGCAGGCACTTCGAACATCCATGTGTGAAGTGGCAGGGTCACTGATGCAGTGAACGCCTCTGCAATGTTTTAGTTTTCCGAGCTCTTGCACGACAGCATGGCTGAGGCATCATGCTGACATATTTATCGCCGAAAGCTTTTCAGACTATCTGACCTTGGTAGAGCCGGCTTTGGTCATTTTTGCAACCAGATGTGGTCCTGCCAAATCTTACTCACCGAAACATACCAGGTTGTCCAATGGCTCCAACCTGGTTCGGCAAAAGAAGACAGACAGCTGGCGTTGCCGCAGACTCAGAATCAGATGATTGAAACTGCTGTTGTGATGCACTGCAATGTTGCGCAGCGATGTCGTGTGCGCTGTGCCAATCACGAACACAGCACACCGGTGCAGCACAATCGCTTCTATGCCTTGGATCACAGCATGCTTTGATATGGCTTCTCTGCCACCCAACAGACTTCGCCGTGTCTTCCTCGTTGCATATCAGACCTGAGGTTACCGACTCATGTGCTGGCCCGAACACACCATGCACGGGATGCCTTCAAACTGGCGACAGGGGGTTGAGCTCGCCGATCGTCGAGACTCCCCTGCCATAGATGAACGAATGGAAAACATGGGCATCTGCTCATGTGGCCGAGACGACGACGCTAATTTGCTCAAGTTTTCATGGACGAAATCGATTGCCAATTGCGTTGAGCTCGTGGATGATACTCACTTCGACAGGGCCATGGGCCCAAAGCAATCTGCTCAACATTTGTGACGTGGACACTGCGACCGCCCTCGACTGACCCTCACGACCCCGCTCGGTTGGTTGGGCACATCCCGAATGGGCTGCAGCCCAAGGGCGGCAACGCCGTGCTTGGCAGGGCAGCGAGATGAAAGCTGACATGTGGAGCTCGAGGCTTTGATTTGCAGAAGCAGCCTGTCGTGTCGAGGGCGCTCTTGTTTACTAAACAGCGGCCCCTTTGCACTTGATCTTTTTGTTTCCGTCGTGTGGAGTGCAATGCCTGTTATGGTGTGCGCTGCCCCGGCCACTATCCAGTTCGAGTCCCTCCGACTCTTTCAGGTTCGTGATCTGTGACTTCCTTGAACACTTGGGTGACAAGGTCTGGTTCCGAGTCTAACAGTGTGATGAAGCACAGAGCATCGCATCACTGTTTGAACTTGTCTGAAGGTTGTTGCTCAATGGCCGCAGTTTGTGCCAAAGCTTGTTGAGGAGACTTCCGCCACTCCGTATCATTTTTACTACATGTACACCTGCGGTTTTTAGGAGTTTAATTCAGATGAAGCGGGTGGTTAGGATGTTCCGGGGAACTAGTGCGAACCATGACACTGGCTCAAGTCGAGCGCTGATTTGCCAGATGAGCAGACGAGAAGGGTGGGCTCGACGCGTGTCAAATCCCAAGAACGACGATCAAGGGCGGCTTCTAACAGGAACGCTGTTGCATGAAGAAGTCTTCAAGCTGCTTTGACGTTTGAGTCCTGTTCAGCCGGAATCATCAAATAGGTGACTCAGCGCAGGTTTAGACACGGAGAATTACGGAATTAATTCCCAAAAGCCCGAACATGTCAGAACCTCTGCAAATTCTCGCGCAATCCAAAAACATGGCTTCAGCGCTGTTTGTATTTTTGGAGCTCGTTGTCGAGTTCATGCTGAAATTCAATGAAGCTTCGCTCTTCCATGCCCTGGCGTCCGTCTCAACGTACGCTAGATTGCTTGCGCGAGGGCAAGAACTAGAATATGTCGTGTTGGTGTGTTGCCGAACTTAGCTTTTGGAACGGAGCTGGTCGAGCTAGCTCATTGCACAAAGGCGTTGCTGTTGCTAATACTTTTGGCTCAAGTTATGGCCGTTTCTGATCTCGAATTCTTTCATCAGTTTCGTGTCAGCAGGCGGTCTCGAAGGTTTTGAGTCTCCTTGTCTCTTGACCTTGCGGTGACATTTTCTCTTTACCGCCTTGTTGGAAAGGACATCCTGCACCCGGATGCAGATCTGCGCCAACCGGCGTCCTCAATCCCAGAGGGTAGTTTCTTCAGCACATCTTGCCTTGCAGTTCTGTTAGGTGCTACGGTGTGTCGCTCGCAGCAAAGTTGCAGGCGAGAGCACTTTGCAATGCCTGCACCTGATGAAGCGGCCAGTCTTGAGCGGTGCCTAGAAGGCCTTCGCTCCCTTGGCCTTGGATGCAGCAAACAAACTCTCCCAGGCAAGGCTGTCTCTACCAAGCAGACAGGGCATCTTCAACCTGACAGGTTGTGACCCAGTCCAGGCAAAGAACCAAGAAGAAGTCTGAAAAGGTTGCACAGGCGACAGCTTTTGCTCACTTTTTTTTTATCGCTCCCGCACCCTATATATATATATATACACATGTATAAGTATATAAATGTAAACAATCTATGTAAATATCTATCTGTGTATGTGTCTCGAAGAAACATCCATGGCGCTCACGGTAAGATCATTGTGTAAATGGACGAGACTGCTGAGGGCTCTCGTTTGGAACCTATACAATGAAACTCCCAATATGCAGAAAGAGAGAAAGGACACACACAAGAAAGTGTATTGAATCGATATGGAAGATAAATCCATGTATGTGCATGTGTGCAGTGTAACACCATGGCCACCGTGACCACAACCACCCCAAGCACAGCACGAGCACACCACAAGAACCACAAGCACCACGACCGCGACCCGACCACCACAACCACCAGGACCACCACGACCGCCAGCACCACGACCACCACGTTCCTTGTCCACAACGTAGATACTGGCTGACACCATGGGCATCATCGTGTGGTGGTTTCCTGTCGGATTCGCTGGGCAGTCCTGCCATGATAGCGCAGGAGGGCACGAAGAGGGGCAAAAAGTTGTCGCCTGTATTGCCACATGTGCAATCGTGTTCAAATCGATGTACCGGTGCACTTATGGAGGCCCGGCCCTGACATGCAAACACTCACGATACGAAAGCCGAGGGGTGTCAATTCATCAACTGCTACGCAAGAGCGCCGAACAAATCGTCTTGTAGAACAAATCTTAATGAGAACCATTGTCAGAAAACTGGATGCTGATGAGCAGACGACGCGGAGTCTGGGTCACAAGAACTCCTACAGATCACCATCGGAACCAGCTTCGGCAGTCTGTCGTGGAGTTTCAACAGTTAGTTCTAATCACCAAGCTGCTCCATTGACAGAGCGGTCAAGCCCTTACCCTTAGGCTCTTCGCAACAAGCTGGCCGTGGTCCCTCGCGACAACTAACTGTCGTTTGTTTCGGTAACCAGGACTCATTTCGTGATGGTTGCCTGTTGCCCTGCAACTGGGCTGACGCAGCTTTTGCATGCGGTTCCATGCTAGATATGCTAGATGTGTGCGTGCATCTGAGAGCCACGAAAGCAGGGTGCCCAGTCTAGAGTCTAGAGTTTCGACTTGCTGACTCTCCAATCCGCGTGCCACTTCAGCATCAGCTTAAAGGGGCAGTTTCGCGCTCCGTTTTTGACCTAGCTTTGCGCGTGATTCGTGAATGGGCTCCCGTTGCAGTCGGAAGCCCATGCGTCTTTCGAGAACATCACCTCCGCAGATTCAGGGTGCCCGCCACTTCTTAATCTGCTTCTAAAACATGTCCATGAAGAAAGATATGAGGACAGACGTGCGGCGGGCGGGGCTCGTTTCTTGAACCAACAACTTCTCAAGCGGTGGTGTCACCGTACCCTTCAGGCTTGCGCCGACAATGCGCTGTCTGCTCTTGCCGCGGTCTTAGACTTCATGTATTGGCTTGTCTGTGACAGTCTGTTGCGTGAGGTCGAGATCCTGCTCGCTCATCCACAAGCAATTACGTCTGTTCAGGCATACGCTGGAAGCAATTGGGATGTTGATATGCCGACAAGATCTGACAAGCATGGTGACAAGAGGCTCAGGCATGGAATGTTTGGCTGGGTGGCCTGCCCGAAGCTCAGCGGCTCTTCGTTCTTATACGATTCAGGACTGCGGCTGTCCTTGATGCAGCACGGAGCAGTGGTCAGTAGTGCTGAGCTGATGTTGTTGCGTCTACATCTCCGTCCACAAGGCCTTGCCAGGAGGATGATGTTGAAGGCGTCCGAAACCACCGCAGACTTCTCGAGCTTCTTCAACAGGACGCCGGAAGGGCATGCATTACACGTGGGGTCATGTTCCCGTGAGCGATGCACTTGTGGTGTACGCAATTTTCTGCCACACTTGTATTTTCGTAAGTTTTCTTCATGACTCGGAGCACAATCAGATGCATCAGTGTCGTTGGGACTGGTAAAACCACCAGTCAGCTCTTGACCTTCGGTAGGAGAAGGCTGAAGTGGTTGGTGAAGGAGGCCGAGCATTGAAGCCAAGCTCATGTCGTGTACTCCCCGTAGACTCCAGTCTTCTGAGCTCTCGTGGACCAGCCAACATCATGCAGAGCTTTGAGCTTGACAATTGCATCCGAAAACGAATCAGCCGAGCAGTCTTTTGAGCTTCCGGGCTGAGCTCCTGATTCAGGTGCGAATGTTCCGAAGCTCTTCGGAATTCTCGTGGACGTGTACAAGACTGATATGGCAGACGAGGCTCAGCTTTGCACCGTGCATTGACGTCCCAACGGTGCCACGTTTCCGACGTGTTGGGAAGGCCACTTCCGTGAATATTGGCCAGTTTGCACTTCGGTGGGGCACTTGGTAGCTCTGAAACATAGGCAGCTGGATTTCAGCAAGATTTGGTACTGAAGGCTGGGTGAATCGAAGCTAGAAAGCTTCGCTGCTCAGTTTAGCGCTCGCCTTGGTCAGTGTTGGCAGCGGCAAATCGCAGAACTTCTGATTACCGGCATTTTCTGGCCGTGTCTGTTTTCGTGCCATCTGCATTCGACAGATGTCTACAGCAAGCCGAAGGCGACAAGCAGAAGAAGAAGCTACTCAGAATAGTGCGGGAGGCACGACAGATGTGCTTGTGCTTATTACCTGAAAGGCATTGTCGGCATTCCAGTCGCTGTGCTAGTTCTGGTGACATTTTGTAACCATGTTCGCACTTCTCTGGCTCAGTGTTTGAAGAGAAGGGTAGCGAGCGATGATCCATGCGCCTCGCATTCCTGTGTCTTGGAGCGAGGCTCCAAGCCTTGATCCCTCTACGAGGTGAAACGTGTCAGAGGGCTGCGCAAGCAGTCAGATGTGCACGGTCCGCACCTGCCTCTGCCAACCCGTTGCGGCGCCTTGTGCTTCGACCGTCCCGAAGGCAGCGCCAAGAACTTACGTTTCGGGACAGCAGTTTTTGTGGGCCTGTGCATCGTTTACAACTCGTTGCAGAGTTGATCTTACGTGCATGGGAAGCCAAGGCCTCTTGCTGCCTCGCGACTGGCGTCAAGCAGCAGAGGTAGCGGAAGAGGCTTTGTCGCGCTGACATCTCGAACGCTCCGTTGTGTTTCTAGGTTCCGAGAGTCCTCGGCGCCTGCGCCGCAGGCTTCTGTACCGGGATTCCTCTGCGAATGCACTGTATGCAACAGTAGGTACTGCCGCCGTGTCTGCACGTCGAAAACGATCAAAGCCATCGATGGCGCCGGTGACTGAAAGGACCCAATGAGTCACACCTTGTCCTGCATTCCAGTGCCACTCTGAGGGTGGTATCTTACAGCATCATGCCAAGGCTCATCGACCGAGTCATGTTCTTGGGGACTGGTTCGGCAGTGCCCGTGCCTGGGCAGCGCAACATGCTGCAGTCTCGGCCGTGTGTGGAATGGAGCTGAGCCGCAAAAGGCTTGGATTTGGAGGTAGTCTTTGTTCCGTGTGGCCAGCTTTGGCCAAGGTCCAGTCTAGCAGTGATGCTGAACACAGGACAGCTTGCAAGATATTGTAATGTCAGCTGACAGACTCTCGCCTTTGCAAGCCTGCATGAGATTATTCAGATGCCTTGGTCTAGGAGCTGCCATAATCGTCGACTGCGGTGAGGGCACGCAGCATCACATCAAGGTCTGTCCTTAAAGCCGTGTCAGAGCGAGAGCGCCCCAGCACCCGTCCAGCAGGTGAGCAAGTTTCTGAAGCTCTCCCGCGTCGAGGCGACTCAACTTAGCTGCAAGTTGGAGCCCGCAGCGTCTGTCTAGGCTTTCGTTTTCGTCGCGATCAAACCATGGAGATGTCATTGCTTCTCGGGAGAATTTGATGCTCAGACTACGCATCAGGGAGACACAAGTGCAGCAAGGGTGAGTGCCAAGTTGCTCTCAATCAAACATGTTTAGGCAACGAGCATCCATTATAAGCCTCACCGAACAGATGCAACATGGGCAGTCCATGAGAGACATCCATGAGCGATGGACATAACATTCCAGTTCTGGAATGATTCGCGTGTGGCTCAGATGTTCCGAGCCGACCTTTGCAAGACGGCATAGGACGGCACAGGTCTGTCCCTGAGGTCGTTCGAGTCCTACAACCCGCAAGCGCAACAAACTCTGTACCAGAGCCTCCTGCAGAATCCGCGCCCTGACGAGGCCAGGTCAGGTCCGCACTGGCGTCTGCTTCCGTGAGGGCTGCCGGGCTTGGATCAGGTCGATCTGCCACAGTCCCCTTATGTGATCTCCAACTTCAACAAGGCCGACCAGCTCGCACCTAACGTCTGCAGGCCTTTTTCGTGTCAGGTGGAGCACGGAGGAGCATCGCAGAGGAACAAGAACAGTGGCTTCAATCGGTGGGTCAGGCTCATCGGCTCATCAGCAGCTGATAGCTGACGGAGCCTCGTGAGCAGCGCAAGTCAGGATACGACCACCGTATGTGCTCCCCGGAGCCCAGCCCTTTGCCGCTGCCGTTGCCCTTCAGCGGAGCGACTTCCGCTTCTGCTTCGAGGCCAGGGCCAGGACATGTCAGGACGCGTTCAGAAACGACCCTTGGAAGGAGGGGAGAGATGGCTCACAGTTGGTGCCCTTTTCCGAGGACCACCGAGAGATTCTCGCAGGTGCCGAGACCCCGAGAAGTGCCATCAAACTGAGAGGAGCTGCAAAGCGAGCTGAAGCGATTTCTTGCCTCGAGCCCTCGCCCTTCGGAGGCGACAGAAAACGCATGTGCATCCGGCATCCGGGCATATCCGGGTTTGGCTTGGCCACTTTTGCAGGTCTACTTCATGGCGAAGCATTCCCCATACTTGTTGTCGGGAATGGACCAGATGCAGGATTCCTCCCTTTTCCTGTCCATAACTGGTACCGCACTGCTTGCAGCCTGCGAGGACCTCCAGAGCGATTCGCCGCTTGCGCAGGTCGCTGGCTGAGCGAAATTGCAGTCACCGCATGTCGCGACTTCTCTTCGCAGGTCAATCTGAAGACTGGCTTCGTGCGAAGGGTGAGGCAAGCATTGAGATTTGAAGGCGCCGTTCCTGCAAGGCCCGTCATCGCCCATGTGGCAGGATCATGACGGGTCCTATCCCACGCGTGCCACAGCGGCCCTACGGAGGACCCGTACCTTTTTCTGAGTGATGAAACTGGATGTGATGAAACTGGGTATCTTAGGAGGAGCAGCTTCCGGCCATGGGTTGCCGGCCTTCTCCGGCACAGCGTCCGGATCCGGTGCGCAGCACTTGGCGTCCTGGTGTCGTTTTTTGTTTCTTCTGCAGCGAGGTAGGGGCTTTCAGAAGCGAAGCTTCCACCCTCCAACTCCTGCCAGGCCCGATCTGTGAAGTAAGGGAAGAGGCATCAGCTCCAGGGTCTACCGGACTGAAAGAAGCATTGCAAGGGCCAATTCCAACTGCTCCTTCTCTCTGTCTTCTGCGGCTTTCTTCTGCACCATCGACGGGAGGACAGCCGCCTGCACTGCAACAGGAGCATCATGGAACATCGCAGAAATGCGGGAAGAACTGTGAACGACGTAAGGCCTTCACACCCTCGCGCTATCAGACAGGTTGGAAGTTGGGCACCTGCCAGACTAGCACTAACAGATGTAACAGTGTCACGGCAACGGCAAATCCACATGACATGGCCATTGCTGTGGGGCCACTCTGTAGGATTCTGTAGGTACTGGATTCATCCTGTCTGAAAGTCACCGCATCGGCAGCACTGATCGCCAAACAATGTTCGAGGAGAGAAAGGTTGAATGCGGCTGCCTCTAGGCTCCTTCTGAGGCAGGGCAATCACCAAGTAAGTTGCTGCGAGACTTTTATCGCAAGGGCTAGCTGTGCTTATGTCTGACGAGTTCAACCGTGCAGCCCGGGCCTGCAGGCAGTGGATGGCAGCAGAAAGACCTTCAAAGGTCCGAGCCAACGAGAAGCTCATGTCATCCTGGCGTCTTGGTAAGCACAGGTGGATCTTAAGGAGGACGGCGTTGTCGAGAACTTTGAGGTGCCCTGACAGAATGTCACTCGCAACACTTGCACTCGTAGGTGTTTTTCAAGTTCTAAGAGCCAAGTCTGAAATGCGTACGCTGCGCCCTCGAGAGATAGAACGTGGTGGGTCCCACGTCAGGGCTTGGAGCAAGGCAGAGCCACTCTGGGCAAACGAGGCAGAAGAACTCGGCTTGAATCTTGGCGAGCAAGGCTGGCAATATGTGGCAATTCTTCTGGGGTCTTGTGCAGGTCACGTGCACCTTCTCCTTGCACCCTCAGGAGGTGAAACTACCGGAGCCTTCCTCGGGAACTTTGAGGCTGCCAGAGGACTTGGACGAGGTGCCAATGAGAAAGCAATGCAGAAGGCAATGCGACCTTCGACTCTCTCTCCGGCTCTGCCTTACTTTCAGGCCGAGGCGCTGGACATGATGTTGACGGGCAAGGCCTTAACAGACCAGGCCAGGCCAGGGAGTCGAAAACCAAGGACAGCAGGTGCAGTTGAAGTAATCCCTTCCCTCGATCATGCGTAATTTTCGGGGAGCATTTGGCCCGGAATGCACCCAAAGAAAAGTTTAACAGGGGCAAGACTACGGTACAGTTCGGGACAATGAGGGAGACACTGGGGATCACCTAGGAGTCGAGGGCCTTATTAACTACTTAACCTGTATCGAATCTCCCTCTCTCTCTCTCTTTCTCTCTCTCCTCTGTCTCTCTCTCTCTCTCCCTCTGTCTCTGTCTCTCTCTCCCTCTCTCACAGAGTTTGGTTTAGGGATTGCCCCAAACCTTATGATCGCAAGAGCGAGTGTGCACTGGAACATACTGGTTGAGTTCCATTTTCTCTCAGAGTTTAGGGTTCTCTTCGGACTGCAGGAGCTGAAGCCACATGCAATGGGAAGATTGAAAGTATCAACCCCCCAAATCTTGAATATCCTTACCGTCAAGGAAACTGCTTCGTAGTATTGGGTGGGAGTCTTCTCACATAGACTTAAGTAAGAGGGAAAAGGTTGTGACGTGCTTCATTCTAATTACTGATACAATAAAACCATGCTTTCGATTCCCTTCATTATGTTTTAAGAACTTAAGAGTTAGATCTGGGCTTTTTAAACTCCTGCGCGGTTTTCCTGATGTCCAGACTCTGTTGTTCCTAATGCTCTGTTCTCAATGTGTGAAAGCTCAATTTCGTAAATAAACCAAAGGGAAAAGTCAAAGGTAAGGAGCGCACGCTTTCCTTATCATTTTGCTTTGTTTGTTTGGGCCTTTTGGTGGTGAGTTTTGGTAGAGAAAGCACGCCTCGTGCTTGCTTTGTCTTACTAGCGGGAGAGGGAAGTGGGAAGGAATTACGATGCATTATGAGCAAACAGGAGATCGTGCAGTTGGTTGGTGATGAACGGCAGTGCCCCATCTGCATGGACGCGATGGAGCCAGAGCCTATGCAGCCTGAGGTCGGTGGAATTCCCGATGCCGATTCGCCAATTTGCAACAGTGATCCGTGTGTCGTCCTGTGCAGGTGCAGCTGGACGAGGATGGTGATGTTGAGGCTTAGCTGCACAGAGACTATTTGTGGTCTCTTTGAGGCAGCATGGTGCTGTATCAAGGACATGCATGCTGAAACGAATGCATCCTTCTCTTGGGCACGTGATGCGCCACCGGTGCAAGGACATATGAGAAGCGTTGCCTTCCAACTTTATTCAAACCTTTTCGATCTCCTAGCTGCTGGCTGATGTGCAGGAGCTTTCCGACTTCGCTGCGGCCACACTTATCATATGACCTGCTTGCGCACATGGTTTCAGCAGAAAACCAGATGCCCAAGCTGTCAGCAAGAGTTTGGCAAAGTAGTGACTTGGTTCAATTACAGCGAGCCAAGCGTGGATCTTGTTTTCTGCATGCTGAACTTTCATGGGATGGACATCGATGGTTGAGCATGGAGATTCTTGCCAACGGATGCACAGGAGGCACAAAACATACGGATGCACTGTGGCACGGACATTGACAGGGTTTGAGCAATTATGAGCATAGATGCTCTGATCAACGGATGCAGTGGTGTCACATACGTCATCATGGTCTAGGCATGGCCGCTCTTACCAACGGATGCGCTGGTGACACGGGCGTTATGATTGTACCTTGTCACAGACACATAGACAAGTAAGAACAGGAATGCAGTGTCCGCTAAGAAGACAAGGATGGGTCGCCGCAGAGCGTGAACTGTCGCCAAAGCAGAGGCAAGACTTGGAAATGAGCAGCAAACAAGCGAACAAAAGGACCCGTGCACGTAGCAGGGAGCTTGTGGCTGCAGCCAGTTTTCATGACCTGGAGGGCTTCACTCAGTATGAGCCTGTCGAGGCAGAGTCTAAACCTATCAATACCCAAGACTAACACCAAGGGTCTGCCTGTGGAAAGCTGATGTCGGTTCTGCTCTGCTGCTATTGCTACAAGGATTAGAATGATACTGAGGTGGGGAAGCAGCCTCGTCTCGGAACTTTCAGCTGGCATTGTGAGAACTTCACACTCCCTGGGCACCCAGATGCTGCCAAGACCATCGTCATACAGCGCTCATCTTGGCAATGCATCATCATCTTGCTGAGCCGTTGCGAACTTTTGTCGCACTTTCTGCATCCAGGTTTATCTTCCCGGAGGGCATCGACGATGAAGGGAAAAGCTACGCAGGCTCCTCGCTCGGCGGCCCAGCTTAACGCAGAATTTTCGTGCCTGCAGGCAGAAAGCCCAAAGGATATCTTCCATGCAATGCGCAGGGAATCATCTTACTGGAGCTCTTCAAGGCAATTGGTGATCCTGACTTCCATTGTGGATGTCCTTTTGACAGAGGTAGCTTTCCGACGGCGTGTCATGTTCGGTATGGGCGAGTCCATGACGTTCAGCTCGTACCGTCCGACGTGCCATCCTCATGCTTGGAACAGAAGAAGCTCCAGAGTTTCGAAGCTGAGACCTCAGGTTCAACATCCACATCAAGACCAGCTCTTCGGGAGGAGAGACCAAGCACGGTTATCCAGATGAGACTTACTTCCACAGGCAGATCGCATGCCCATGTCAAGTCGTCTTCAGCACGGCTCATAGACAGAGTCAGGTCCTTGGGCGAGCTCAAAGCGAATGGAGTATCTCTCACGGACCTGCAAAACTAGACGGTCGTGCCCTGTGTGGGCCAGACCTGGGCCCAAGCCCTGTACAGAGCGGCGGGTCCGAAAAGGCTTGCAACGAGATCTCTCATGCTCAAGGTGAGTCATCACATCCAGCCGGCTCTTTGCTGCAATGCTGATGGTTGATGAAGCAAACACGAGAAAGGTCATTTTGCTCACCCATCTTCACGGAGATCACTGCTATGGACTGTTTGGTCTGTGATAGTCTTAGTGCAAAGCACTGTGTGAGTTTCGTGCTGTGTGGCTTTCAGCATGATTCCAGGTTGCACACGGCTGCTCTCGAGGGTCGCAAGGACCAGTTTATTTGTTGCCTGAGCATCCGCTTCCAAGCTTGTAGTGGGCAGGACCCGCTACTGATAGTGGGCCCTCAGGGGCACCATCCTTGAAATATAGCATTTGGCATGTGTGACCAGAGTGAATCCTGGTGAAGGCTTCGTACCATGGTGGAGACAGTTCTCCTATCTTCTGGAGGTTGGTACTCAGAGGAGAGCTCTGGGCAGAAAGTCACACGTGCTTGAGGCAGAATCTTGTCGTTTCGTGCCGTAGGAGTCTTTCCAGATCAACTACTTGGAGATACCAAATACTGGAACGCCAGGTGGCCTGACCCCAAGTTGCTCTCATGGCCGCGGCATGCCACGGCCAAGTCGAGATTTCAGGTGAAAGTCTGGTGGGATCCTTTGGATCAGGCGGGCTGAGTATCTGGGCAGGATTTCATGAAAGTCAAGCCGAAAGGTCCTCGAGGGCTGGGTTTCCATCCAGATCGCTGTCGGCACGCTGCGGCTGTTCAACTCGGGGCCGAGCTGACAGAGAATGGCGAGTGCAGGCGAGTGCCACGATAACTCTGAGCCCAGGTCTTAGCGGGTCTTCGCATACAAGCAGTGCCGCTTGTTCACGGATTGCCTGTCTCACTGACATGTCTCAAGGGACTCTTTGTATGCGCACTGTGTGACCTCCCGAACTTTGCCAGGATTGGGGATATGTGCTGACAGAGCCGGACCGCCCCGGCAAGCTGAATGCTGCCAAGGTTGCCCGGACCGTGTTCTTGTACTTCCACGTATGATGCATTGCCTTCTTGCGAGGCTTTGGAGCTCGGAATTCCTGCAAAAAGCAGAATGCTCGTGTCCAAGTTCGGTCCGGTCTAAAAGAGGCGTTACATGTAGCAGAGAGTCGCTCCCCGGTTTTTTCCTGTTAAGGCTGGGACAGCTCAAACGTGGGCAAGCGGTGGAGCTGGACGACGGTTCGCTTGCTTCCCAGCGAGAAGAGGAAGATGTTTTGAAGCGAACAGTGCGGCGAAAGCAAAGGATGGTCTCCCCCGCACAGGTTCTGGGCACCAAGCCTGGCTCGCTTGTTGATCTGCTGCATTCCCACGGCTGTTCCAAGACGCTTGAAGCTAAGGCCCGACAATTCCGGGTCGAACTTTGGCAATCTTGCAGGACACGCCAACGGCTTCCAAACCAACGGAGAATGCTGCAGCTTTGCAGGACACTTCTGATGCTTCAGCTGCTATTGAGCCTTGTCGTGGAGCTGCCTGTGCCCGAATCTCTGTGGAACTTCCCGGAAAGTCGCGGCACTCCCAACTTGCAAGGTGTGTGTAGGCTCGTTCATTCTAGCTTGCTCAGGTCGTCCATGAAGCCACCTTTGAAGATGGCATGGAGACGGAGGCCGACAGTTTGAGTCGGCAAGCCATTGTGCTTGGTTTTGGCGACCCAGGCCATAGGGAAGGGCCACAGCACGTGGGAGGCTGAAGCAGGAAATTTCAGTTGCAGAGTTGCCTTGCCGATGAAAGCACCGAGGAGCACTATGGCAGCCCGCTTCGCCGCATCGTGTCAAGCGCGGGGAGCTGACAGACTCAGGTCAAATTAACCTCGATGTGCAGCATTGTGCAGCATGCTGATGCCTTCATGGTTTGCCAGCGATGAGCATTAATATCAAGCTTCACAGACAAGTGGCATTTCGACGCTCCAAATCCTACGTAGCTCCTCACACCTCGACCGTTTGCCTGCCTTAGTGACTAGACCATGCCCAACAGCATCCGATCGTCCTGAGAGGGCATGCGCCATGCCTCTCTGCAGATGCACTCAAGCGCCTTCTTCACATCATGGCAGAGGCCGAGCAGGGGGCTGTACCTTTATCAACAACAAAGAAACACAAGGAACGAAGGCTATAAGGCACCATAAATAGGAACGCATGCTTGAGGGACAGAAGGAGCGAAGAAAGGAAGGACAGAGGGAAGGACAGCCCCTGCCTGTGTACATTGGGATACATTTGCTTGTGTAGGGTTGCATTCATAGCCATCGGGTTATGTCCAGAAGTCCAAGTTTGTCCGTGTTATCTATACGTATGTATGCATATGTGTCTGTGTATGTATATACACACCTACATGTGCATATATGTTATGTTATGTTATGTTATGTTATGTTATGTTATGTTATGTTATGTTATGTTATGTTATGTTATGTTATGTTATGTTATGTTATGTTATGTTATGTCATGTCATGTCATGTCATGTCATGTCATGTCATGTTATGTTATGTTATGTTATGTTATGTTATGTTATGTTATGTTATGTTATGTTATGTTATGTTATGTATGTATGTATGTATGTGAGTATGTATGTATATATATATATATATAGTTATACATATAGATAGGAAAACTTGCCTGATGTATGTATGTGTATATCTGTCTATGTCTATGTCTATCTATCTATCTATCTATCTATCTATCTATCCATATATATATATATGTATACGCACCGATGGCAAATCTGCACATGCATGCACACACACACATGTATATAATATACGCATATGGGGACATGTATGTGTATATGTGCCGGCATCTATGTACATGTGTGTATGTGTGCATGCATACATACATACATACGGCCATGATCATGTATGTATGAAAGTTTATATGTATTTGTGTGTATGTGTGCAGTTGTACGTATGTATATGTGTATATGTCTTGTATATGTAGTGTTGTGTGTTTTTAACTTTCTGTCTGTCTGCCTGCCTGCCTGTATG